GGTAATGGCGTTCGGCCTACCGGCATTTGGCGGTGTACCTTGAGGGGCGGCAAACGCTGGCAGTCCTGGTGGTGTGGCGCTCATCGTCTGTTTCTGTAGCTTTGCCAGCAGTTGCTGGAAAGCTTGTCGCTCATCCTCGCCGCCCGCTGGAGGAGCTGGGCCGCCAGCGAAAGGGAGAGGCAAAGGCATACCGCTGTTGACAGGAGGTCCTGTCATAGGAGTTGGAGGTTCTGTTTTGCCTCGAGGCTCGTCCTGGGGTTGCGAAAAGAAAGACGTAAACCTGGAAGATTTGCCCGCTGCCTTGGGTTTGTTGACAGGTTCCTTGGTCTCTTCAGCAAGAGGAGTATCCAGACCAGCATTCGATCCAAACGCCATGAAGAACTTATCAGGTCCAGCTTGAACCGCTGGGGCAGACTGCACAGGGGGCTTTTCAGCCTCGATGATGGCTTCAGCTGCCTCGGCATTCGCGGATTTACCAGGAGCAGCAGGGATTCCAGCCTTGGCCTTCTTCATCTCCTCCATCCATTTCTGGAAATCTTGCTGCGTGTGAGCTTCGGGATGCTCCTCAAGAGGTTCGTCTAGCCATTCAGGCTCACGCTCGACTCGTTGATCACGGTCTCGTCCCCATCGGCGATCATTGGTGCGACTGTTGTTGTTACTGTTGTTGTTATGACGATCATCAGGAGTATCAGCGATCGCATCGCGGTCTCTCCAGCTCTTCGCGCGATCAATTCGTTCACGCTTGTCGGGGGTGGCAGTAGCTTCAACAGCGGGAGTGGTGACTGCATTAGACTCGTTTTTGTACCATGGCTCAGTTTTGTTCCTGTTCGTTCCGTTTCGAGGCCTGCCCTCATCGTCTCCGTCTCTAGCGAAAGTGTCAAAGTTTCGTGCAGGGCGATCCCGAGCAGCGTCGTCACGTTCTCTGGGCTGTCGCTTGTCATCTCGGAAGTTGCCTCCCATACGCCCATGGAAACGCTCAGCACCCTCGTGCCCAAAACTCTTGCGTGGCTTCACAGTACTCCAGCCATCTGATTCGCTCTCGCCTTCACGACGGCGGTAACCATTGCCATTGCGTCCATCACGAAACCGGTCGACATCAAGATCTCCATTACGACTTCGAAAGTTGCCGAAACGCCCCGAAGCGTCAGACTCCTTGGCAATTTTGTCCGTTTCTAGCGAAGATTTGCCTCGCGCTGAAGCAAACGCTGTTCGGGGTGGTGCAAAGACGAGGTCTTCAGGGTCTAGATAGGTGCGCGCCGGTCAGTACACGGGGAGCCTAGGAGCGAAGGACAAGAGAGACAAACTGGCACTATTCCTCGAAACGTGTCTCTCAACACCAGGACGGCGATTACTCTGGTCAAGCAGAGGGTTGTCGTTGGACCGAGGTCGGTCGCCAGAAACCTTTGTTTGTGTGCGATTTGGCTCGGGTGGGGGTCTAATCTAGGTCAGGAGACTTGAATATGACTTGAGAGGAACATGCTACTCACCCCATCCAGTCTTCAGCTGGAGGGAGACTAGGCGGTTTGGTACATAACGGTGATTCCCGCAAGTAGATCAAGAAATTGGCCTCATAGCGGATTACCATGATGAAGAAAGAGTTGGCGCTATGAGCGCATTCGAGTTATCGGCGGTATAGTATAGAGAAGTGTGAAAGTGTCTCAAGGTGGACGTGCGAGCACAATCGAGGTAGCCTTTAGAGAGCTGTCTTCTCTTGAAGGATGGCAGCTTCGAGTTCGGACAGAGTGTGGGTTTTGGAAATTTATTAGTTGTTGGTGCAACAAGCAGGGATGGCGCCGTGGCGAGAAGTTGCGATAGCGGATTGAGTATTGTGCGGAGAGTAGAATGATCAATTCGTTCGGCCGGTGAGTCAGGTGAGGAGAACCCGCGGGGTGAATATCGTTCAGTGAATTCAGGCAGCAGCAGTAGTAACAGTTAAGGAAGGGGACTTTGGTGAACAAGAGCGTGGAAAAGAGATCAGGTCGAGCGAGTTGGTGGTTGGCGGAGAAGGGTGACGTCCTAAGGTGGTGGTGCACTTTGCGGTTATGCTGGACTGTGCTATGCTGAGCTTTGCTTTGCTTTGGTGGTGGTGGTGGTGGTGGACAAGGCGAACCAGTGGTGGAGCCAAGCCTCTATCGAGTCGAAAAGCCCCAATCAAGAACAAGCAGGGGCCCAGCGAGGGAGAGAGTGTATTGTAATTATTGGTTCGTCGAGCGGGTAAATATTGATTGACTTGGTGCAAGTATAGTATTGAAAGAAGTCCAAGGGTTTAGTGGAATGATGTCGAAGGCGGGCGGTTTAGCGGAAAGTGTGACAGTGTTTAACGGTGCGCAAGACGCAGGAGATGGTTGAGGTGGATTGGGTTGGGTCTTGGGATGTACGGATATCGAGGATTGTTTTCGGTGGCTTGACGTGGTTGTGAGAGGGAGAGACCGAAAGCGGGCGAGAAAGACGAGAGAGAAGTGTGAGAGAGTGGAGGAGACGAGAGAGAACAGCGAGAGCGAGGGCTTGAGTGTCCAGTGAGCGACACTTGTTAGCGCTGTTAGCGTGAGTGACAGTTGGCAATAGAACAAGTCAGACCCTGTTTCTAGGCAGGTAATATAGCAACAAAGCAGGTATAATATGCTAGAATATTCTTGTGTGTCTTGAATTGAAATAAAATATCCCGTGGGCATTGACTGAAAAGAAGAATGAGATGTTGTTGATTGATTGATTGATTGATTGACTGATTTGTTTTGTTGGTGGATGAGAATGAGGAGAAACAGTGGATAGACCCGGCTGGACTGCACTGTCTGATACCGCTGCACGCACTGAGAATGAGCCTCCACCCGATGGAATTCAGTCGCGTCGTTCCACTGCCTCCACTAAAATCTCGGGTACCTGTACTGTGCGCCTTGAAACAAACTAGCCATTGGGCTTCACCTCAGTTTCATCCCATCAGCAATAAAACTCGGCTCATGGTTGCATAATAAACCATGCAAATATTCTGCAACAAATAAATATTCAATATTCAGTTTTTTAAGTAACTATCCAACATTCACAATATTCAGTCCTATTTCTTCTGCGCGGCAGTTACCTCCTCCTCAAGCGGCAGAATATGCGGCAGAGGTCCAACAGGCGTGATAGAGAAAGGGTTGATCTGAGTGTGGCTCCTGGTGTAGTGCCACTTGATATGCTCAAACTGCGTAGTATCCTTGAACGCGGGATCGTTCCAGTACAGGTTCCGCATCCACTTGTGCAGAGCTGGGTATCCTGAGCGAATGTCACGGATGTTGCACTTGAAGTGCTGCACGTAGACGGGATCGAAGCGAATAATTGTGACGAACAGTCGAATGTCGACTTCGCTAATCTTGTCGCCGAACCAGTAGGGGCCTTGTTGCTCAGACAGGTGCTTCTCAGCGCGGTCCAGGGCTTCAAAGAGGGCTACGACGTTACGCTCGTAGGCTTCACTGGTGGTTGCGAAGCCGGACTTGTAAACACCGTTATTAATGCCGCCGTATTGCCACTCATGGACCTCCTCGATTTGCTTCTGGAGATCTTCAGGGTACAGCTGGATGGCCTTATACTTCTCATCCAGCATGTCGTCAAACTAGACTAGGTTAGTATTCGTAAGGCAAAGCACATACTAAACAACTTGCCTCAGTACCAAGCATTCGCAGAATTTCACTGCTTTCGTTGCTCACAATTCGGTTTGTCTTCTTGTCAAACAGAACTGGCACGGTGTATCGACCATCATAGTTCTTCTCACTCTCAAAGTACACATCCTTCAAGTGAGTGAATCCCTCATGACCCTTGATAGGATCAGGGATCACATTGTCGCCGGGAACATCCTCATCTTTGGAAACAAATCGCCAGCCTCCCTCACCAAGATGCCAATGCACAACTGAGTAGGAGATGATGTCCTCAAGGCCCTTAAGTTTGCGGGCGATGAGTGTGCGGCACGCCCACGGGCAAGCGTAGCTCACATAGAGGTGATATCGGCCAGCCTCGGCAGGGTACTTGGCATTGGGATCGCGAGAGATCCAGTCTCGGAATGAGCTGACTTGACGCTTGAACTCGCCAGATGTGTCGCCGGGCTTGACCCAGTCAGTGACTTTACCAGTGCTTGACTGTAGCTCTGTTAGCAAGCTGAGAAGAGCAGTGAGAGTATCTGGTCTGTGTACCATTCTGATTTGATGTGGGGGCTGAACTTGAGTGAGAAGGGACGGTTCAAACGACGATGCTTTGATAGATGTGAAGGATCTAATCGATTGTTGTTGCAGTGGTCTAAAGATGGAGCTCCTAGTGAAAACTCGAGGTGATCGGATTCGAATTCCTCGCATTGACATGTCTATAAAAACAAATCGGACCTTTCAATGACGGCGACAACCAACACCTTTATAGCTGCAGCTGAAGAGAGTAGACTACGAGAAAAGTGGCCATCACCATACATGATGCAACCCTTGCTCACTCATGACTTGCTCAGCAGCCCCTCACAAGCTATGGCAGCTTAGTTACCAACCAGATAAAGCCCGTCCTCCCAATCCCCAGGGCCTGTTCCTCCGTCTGGTGGGTTCCCCGAGAGCTTCCATTCCTGAGCTATTCCGTCCTAGAGCTTTGGCTGCCACGCTTGGAAGCATTCCATAATCGTGGCGTAATAATCGACCCCGCTTTACTGCGAGTTGCTTAGTTATCATCCTCTACTGTCTTGATAAGCCCATGTCCATCATGACGACTGGCTTGGTAAAGAAAAATCCCCTTCCTTATCGAGTCAAGGATTATAGTCTCGGCAGTTCAGCATATGTTTTTGTTTGCATACGGGAAAAGAAGATCGTTGGGGTCTCAGAATAGTCAACAGCAAATCGGAGAAAAGTCTGCATAAGCTTTGTCATACAGTAACGAATTTATCTATCTTTATAGGCTGATTCCTTTCATCGTTCATGTGCTCATTTGCACTCCAGTCGTTTCAAACATCCCATATACATGCTTCAAAAGACTGCTCAAAAGCTTCACAGTCACAGTGCTTATGCCATCTTGACCTTGATGTAGGGCACTTCAACATCCTCCTCAGCAAGATCCTCAGCAACCATCTCAAAAATGACTTCCTTTTGGTGTGAAGGAATAGGCTTCTTTGAGATCGTCTCAACCAGCTGGCTCAGCTTGAGGTCATAACGCTCCTTCAATTTCGAAGGAGGGAAGAATGAAGCGTAGAGGAGGCTGACCCCTGAGCTCAGCATGCTGATGGTCAGACCCTTGGCCTTGAAGGTATCCAAAAGCTCCTTCAAAGTGATGTCCTCAATCTCAAACCGATCCCAAATCTTATCCAACGTAACCTTGCCCTCAGGACCTTGGTATTCCACCTTGGGGCTAGCAATAGGCTCACTGAAGCCAAAGAAAGGCAGAGCCAGGTTGATGAAACCGTTCTTGTACTGCTCTAGATCATCCTTGCCATCGATGATCTTGTACAGCTCAAGCACCACAAGACCGGTAACCAATGCCGTAGTCGTAGCGATGGCGGGAATGATCTTGCCAGCGATGAACTTGGTCTTGTGTCGATCAGCAGGCTCAATCTTGTAGTTCTCTGCTCGGAGGTTGCTGCAAGCAGTGATGAAGTCGATGTGATGATTCGAGTCATCGTCCTTCTCGAAGTCAACAGGGACCAACTGGAACCCAGACAAAGAGCTGGGCGATGGGAGGCTGGTGGTCAACTTCTCGATCTCGTCATTGTCATCGAAGTTGCTCGACTCGGGCTCCTGATCATGAATTAGCACTGGTTGTCAAATCGGATGCAAAAATACTTACCACAGGCTCCTTATCGTCGGCCTGGATCTTCACATTGGAACTGGGTGTAAAGTCGGGAACGATGACATTGTCCAATTCTCGCAGATAGATGGACCTGTCGGTTCCAGGAGACTTGATGTTGTAGTTGAAAGCATGGAGGTTGGCTGCCGCAACAATGAACCCGAAGTGAGAAGGGTTGTTGGGGTCGAACTTGAGCGCATCGGGAGCTCGCTTGGGTCCGGACCAGAAAGGAGTACCAGACGAGGTCTCAGAATCCTTGGGAAAGTTATACAAGAGCTGCTGGATCTTGTTGGAAAACTCAGTCTCAAACAACTGACGAGCCCAGGCAATGCAGTCCTCAAACGTTCGTGGCCTCTCAGTCGTAAGATAGTTCCTAATCGTCTCAAGAGTCTCCTTCTGGTTACCGCCCTGCTTCAAAGAATTCTCAATGAACTGAGGCTGGGTCAAGTACAGGTTGACAGTTTGAGGAGCTTTGACAAAAAGCTTCTCAAACATGTACTCCTTGGCCCAGGCAATAGTGTGATCGATCTTGTTGGGGAAACTTCGGATTGTGCACATAGGGAACTCCTTCTCGGGAGGGTCCTGGGAGGATGAATAAGACTCGGTGAGATGGGGCAGAACGACCTGCGTGTTGCCCTTGGTTCCAAGAGTACCACTCTCGAGAAGAGGCTTCTGGAAGAAGACGCATCGGCGGTCAACGTAGGTTCGAGCTTCAACGTTGTCGAGAGCATTGGTGACACCATCAAGGTTTCGCCAGAAATCCTCGTTGAAAACATTCTCGGTCTCGGGGCTAACGCGTTCCTTGAGTGTTACCATGTGGCCCTCGAGGTCAGGGTTCATTCGCTGAACAGCAAGAGCAGCACGGTCACTCTTCATCTGACCAACATCATCGGCGCGGAACAAAAATTGACGGTTCAGGTTACTCCTCTCGATCGAGTCCATGTCGGTCACCCAGATCTTGCCCTCGGGTCCTGTTCCGAGACCAATCATGGCCCAGTTCTTGAGCATCTCACAACCAATGGCACCAGCGCCAACGAGGAACTGCTTCAGGTTGGCAATCTTGTCCTGGAACTCGGTACCGAATACAGCGATCTGTCCATCATATCGGCTACCGATAGGCTTGCAGAGCTCCGCAGATCGCTTGGTAGATGTTGGCAGGGACTCAAGAGAGTCGAAGTACATCCACTGGTTGATGGGCTGGAACTTGCCAGAAACAGCCTTGAGGACCTCCTGTGCCACAATACCACCAAAGTAGGCAGCCATGGGGTTAAGATCACCCTGGGCTTGGTAGCTCAGCTCCTTCAGAAGCTTCTCATTCAGCTCAATGTCCAGACCCTCCTGCTCGGCAAACTTCTTGGCGGCACCGAGAACAACAATAGCGTCATCATCGTCCATGGGGTTAGGAAGTCGCTTGTGAGTGAGTTGGAAAGCATGGAGTGCCTGGAAACCGAGGTGCAGCTGCTGAGGTCGGTCGAATTTGGCAAAATCCGAGATAAGAAACTCGGGTTCCTTGAGCGCAGTGGTGAAGTCCTTGAAGTTGATGATCTTGGGCATCTTGACCTGTTGGTACATGCCGCCTCGCTTGTATTGACCGAGTCCAGAAACATCACCGATTGAAAAGGTATAAGGGCCCTTCACCGTGATCTTTCGGGGCTCGGCTCCGTTCAGTGCCTCCATTCCTTCCACCTCGGAGAATGTCACGTAATCGCCATCTTCCAGTCCATGTCGAGTTTCGTCAAGCGCAGACACCAAGCCCTCCTCGTCAATGCCTGCCACTATGCCGTTAAGAGGAGTCTCGCCGGTAGGATCGATGCAAGTGAACTTCTCGCCAAAGTCACAGAAAACGGAGCCGAAAAGACCGTATGTGTCGGCAATAACGACGTAGATGCCCTTGCTGTGGCAGTAGTCGCCGATAGCCTTTTGTTGGTGGATAGGCGCATTGGTCAGAACAACAACTTGGTACTTGTCGAACTGCGAAAGTTCACCATCAAGGCCAGGAGACTGGTGAAGCTTAACGGGGGTATAGGCATTGAGCTCGGCGACACGAGGCACAGTGACCTCATCTCTGGGCTTTCCGACATCGCTGGGTGTGAGGAAGAACTGGGACGAGAGGTCCGCAATCTGGACTGGAGCAGGGTCGTAGAGGGTAAGGCTCTTGACACCAGCTAGAGCGATGTTCTTGGCAATTTCCACGCCGAGGCCCTTTAGACCGACGATGAGCACATTAGAAGCGCCCATGCGCTTCATGGCCTCGTGGCCCAGCACATAAAGTTGTCGGCTGTAGAGGGACTCGTCGATTTCGTTGTGTCCGACAACAGACTCATCGACCTGCATTCGGGTCGCAAGGTCGACCTCTGGTTGCTTTTGTTCCTATTGAGACGGACTGTTAGAATCTCCGGGCCCTGTTTGCATGTTCATAGTCTCTCAAACGACACCTGCTTTTCACATGTTCTGATGCTTCAAGCAAGAGTTTGGCAGGCGGCAAGCCGAAATAGGGAGTACAGAGGATCCAGACTTACGGTCATTATTCTTTTATGGGTAGGTGACTCCCCGTTGGAGAGCTTTCGCTTCCCCAGCTTGTCCGTTTCTGAAGAGGTGGTAATGTTGGAAACGCTGCGTCAGTCGTTGCGAGGGCGATCCAACACCAGGCAGAGCTCAACCCCGCCAAAGGGTAGAAGGAGACGGTGAGAGATGAAGAAAGTGGAATGAGTTGTCCGCGAGCGATGTGAATCTTTGTCGCAGACCGTAGAGTCGTAAAATTCGTGTTGTGAGTATGGTCAAATGTGGTTTGTAAGAAGAGAGATTCTGACTTTGAAAGTTGAGTGGAACAAGAGTGCGACATGGAGTGTCCTACGGTGATGAGGTAATGGCTCAAGTCCCCAGGCAGAGCTGTCTTGCCCCACTAACCATAGGTTACTGTCAGCGGGCGCCTCAGCTTTAATAAGCCACCTGGCCTGAGGTATCAATCAGTGCAAGGCATCACTACCTACTGGGTACCTACCTTAGGTGGTAGGTATGCATTTCTTATTGTCAGTTCATGTATACTGCATTTGTTGTAATGAACAAATTTGAGCTGTTTCTATGAATCATTCACCCAACAGCAGCCTATATTGAAGTCTTCGCTCCCTCAAGTACACAAGCTCAGCGTGGCACAGCAGCCCCGCAGCAAGTCAACTGCATGGTCGTTCAAGGTTGCTAGGGTGAAAGCTACTCGTAAGGTGACGCCCCTCTCATGGGTCTAGCACTTGATGGCTACTGATTCTAAGCTTCTGTTGGATTCCATTGACTTGACACGGTTAGTTTCGGGTATATAGAACCCTTACGGACACATCAGCATGACTTTTTAGGGTATTGCAGCGATCTCGACCTTCTTCTTCAGGTACCCTCAGAATCATGCAGGTCCATCATGAGATTTAACGGCGGGGTCGAGGTACGCGGGGCATTTTCACGCATGATGCCATACTAAGAGCTTCATTTACGCCACAAAGAAACATACTTGATTAGCACCTTGGGATGTGGCACTGAGAGGCTTGGTTACATCTCTCAATTTATTGGTGCATTCTTTGTTCACCAAAAACTCATGCCAACAGTGGTCATATCACAGAGGTTCATGTTGGATCTCAATTATTCTTTATTTGACCGTCCCTCGGAAATATGTAGAAGTCGCCATGTTTGGTTCCTCACTCCATACTGCACCCCGATGCCACATGTCTGTAGGGGTATAATGAGCATCAGGTCGATCGTTGTATTCTTTGAGCATTTGCAGCTCATTATAAGCCCGTCAAAGCTTCATAACTCCAAAATCGGTCGAAGGATAACGGTAGATAATTGGGGGGCTTAGTTGATCTTCTGGAGCTCAACCTCGCTGAAGGAGTAGTCAGTAGGCTGTTCATTTATCTAGTAGCCTGCAATCAACTTACAAGAGGAGAGTGGCGTTGGGAGGGATGGCGCCGGGGAAGCCACTGTTATCTGTGTTAGCTGTTTCCTCATAGTATAGCTTGGTCACCAGAGGCATCGTAGCCATTGGCCCGAATTTGAGAGCTTACCGGGCGCCATAGCCGTAGTCACTGCCAGTGATTGTTAGCATTCCGAATATCAGCTAATCTGAGGATGTTGAGATCACTTACGGGGTGATGTCGAGAAGGGCCTTCTCGCCGAGCTGCATTTGGGTAACACCCTCATCCCAGCCTGTTTTGTGTCAGCTTCGTTGTCTTATGCGTTATGGAACCGAAATTGGATAGGGAGACGCACCCTTGATGACCTGGCCAACACCAATGGTAACGACGAAGGCACCGCGGCCGACGGAGCTGTCGAACCTATTGAAGAGAGTTGTCAACTGAGTTCAAGAGCGGAGGGCGTACGAATGAACATACTGGTCACCCTTGTTGTCAGGCTTGGACTCGTCCTTGACCCAGCCGGTGTATTGGATGGTGACCTTTTCGCCAACCTTGGGAGAGGGGCCGCTGCCCTCGGAGATGATGGTCTTCTGAACACCCATTATGGCTTGTGTGAAAGAAAAGTTGCGAGGTTGGGTAAAAAAGGGATTGATTCGAGTGGATGTGCAAGTAACGCGGAAGAGGGATGCAGGAGAGAAAGGGCGCATCTTGAAAAAGAGGAGGCGAGCGTGGAGCTTTATACCTACAGTACCTAAACCTAACAGCTGAGCAAGCAAGCTTTGGGACGAGGCAACTGAAATGCGGTGCTGATGCGGTGCCAGACCCAGGAACAGGAACAATGGGATTGGATTTCTTCTGTTGAGCTCCCCCGTATGATCAATGGCTTCAGAAGCTCGATAAGCTCTTTCAATTGGATCTCAGGGTAGCAAATGGCGGGGCAGTCAGATCGACGGCGGGGCACTGGTAACTGGAATGACGATTGGTACCAATCAGCTTGCCCGAAGGCCCCACTAGGGATGACGATTGGGAGAAGCTCACGGAATCCAAGGAGGTCACGAATAGCTTAAAGATACTTCCATTCATCAGCCTTTTTGTCACCTTGAACGAGTACTTTTGGCTCAATAGGAACCCCTGTTGGTCCCGGAGTTAATGTCACTCATCAATCGGACAAAATACCGCATTAAAGCAGATGTCGTGATTGTTCTTGGCCGATGTAAGAAGGGACTCGGACCCTGAACAACGGCGCCTATCGATGAGAGATGTACCTTGCTTCGGAGGTACACCCGCTATGGCGATATGTGCTGCAAAGAAAGAGTATTTTTCGAAGCCAGTACTTGAAATCCTCACCAACGTCATCCGCGTTGAGCAGTCTAGGCAGTTCGCAGGGATAAAAGATTTAAATAGTAACATTCAAGAAAGGGACGTTGATTAGAAGAGCTTCGATCCAGTGTGGTCTAATGACCTCGCCTTAACTTACTTCAGCCACCAGCTTCCCCAGATCGTCCCTTACCGTAGATGTTGATGGACTAGGTACCTTAGTAGGTAAGGTAGCGCAGCGACCAGCTGCGAGAATCACAGAGCTCTAGGGTAAGGCATATATGATAAGAATGAACTTGTGTGAGCAGAATCCTACGCACCTTTTACATCATTCACTTCTATGATTTCTATGTGATTATGTAGCTACTGTATTAGACTCGCATAATGCTTATGTATGATGTGGGGGATTGAAACCAGGATATCTGTGTCGTTATCAAGTTTGACCTAGGGTGATGACTATGGAGGAAACACTACATATTGCTTTGTGAGATATCGTCCTTCATTATCATTACCTTTACATATCGGTTACACATAGTAAATTCAGAAATTCATATAAGAAAATACTCGGTATTCTCATCAAACATGCCAGTGTTTCTTGATCGTGCCATTTACGCCCCCAAACGCCACAAAATTATCCGAATACTGGTGTTCCATACGGAAACTGATGGATTTATGGGCTCTCGGCGTTGTCGTGGAAGACTACGGCCGCACAGCATATTAAATAATCACAAAGGGCTGAGAATAAAGCTGGCCCGTGAGAAGTATGATCGTCCCGGCTCGAATCAAGGTTCAACAGTTTGTTTGATCTTCAGTGCACGGTTACATATTCGGGTGTGATTCTTCGTAGCTAAGGAGTAGCACATACTTTAACTTGAGTATAAGAGCATGAAGCATCACGGCGCAAAAGAGCGTTGCATTGAAAATCTCCAAAATCAAGAAAACTTGACTTTACTCTCCTTTATGCACAGCAGTACTCGACTTGGGGTAACATCGTCAAAGCTACAGAGTCCAATGATAATGTCGAAATATCTATAAAATGGTACGAGGCTCCGCGACTAACGACGTGAGACATCAGCTTCAACAGAACAATTACCACTCGACACTCCTTTTTCAAACATGACAAACTTCTTCAAAGCAGCGCTGTGCGCTTCCATCGTCTTCCTGGCTGGAGCATCAGCCAAAGTAAATCGCACCAATGCTGTCCTCACTGTTCTGGAACAGCACAAGGACTTGACTGCATTCTATGAACTCTTCAAGTCAACCGGAGATGGCGTTGGAATTCCTGAACCTGCATTCGAGGAGCGTATCAATGACAACAACGTTGGTCTTGACTTTACTATACTCGCTCCTACCAACGAGGCGATTGCTAAGGTCCATGGCCTCACGGAGAAGCTGACCACAGCAACTGGCTATCCTCTTCTGACCGCTCTTCTCCGTACACATATCTTGCCGGGAAAACTCGCTCCACATGATCTATATAATAAGAACATCATCTCGATCGAAGGGTTTTCCATTCATACCGACTCGAAGGGGGGTATCACCACCAACCAAGGCCTGACGAAGACCGAAGTGCGCGCTGGCACACAAGCCAGACTCCTGAAAGACAGGAGAGGCAAACCAATTATTGTTCCCGCTTCGAACGGTGTCGTTTACAAAATCGACAACATTCTTGATCCATTGCTCACCTATTTCGGTGAAGACTCCGCCAGAAATCACCGCTCTCTACCAACCATCAAGCACTCCCCTTCCAAATCAATGAAGGATATATTGGCCGCCGACCCCGAGACTTCTCGCGCCAGAGAACTGCTCTACACTGTTGCGCCATGGTTCCCCAGAGATCGTCTTGACATGTTATTCTCCGGACGTCGTACAAAGGAGAATTCCAAGGTTGTCTACCTCGTCCCTTCGAACGAGGCGCTCAAGTCGTTCGGCAAAGCTGCTGAGGCGCCTGGTAACGCCGATGCGACACGGTTCTTCCTTATGGCAGGTTTCGGGAGAATGGATGGAAAACATATCAAGGGGCGCGCGGGATTTAAGCTTGAGGTTGAAGGGGGGAGGGTTATGAATGCGTCGGTTGAGAAAAGGGAGTGTGGCTCGAATGGTTGTGTATGGAGGATTGGGAGGGTGATTGATTCAGTTTATGATCTCTTTTAATGTTTCACTTATTAATCAGTGCTGGGATCGCTTTCTGTCTATCTGTGTCTGTACTCATGTGATGTGAAATACGCATTGCTTAAGGACAGTCACTGCTGTGGTGAATATCAGGAGTGTATAGCAACGGCTCGACGTTTCATCCACGAAGAAACAATATG